TATCTTTACATAAAGTATTTAACATTTAAACAAAAATAATTGTGTAAATTCAATTTTCTTATATGAATTTTTCATAACTTTTTAATGAAAACTCTTCTCTTATAATTTTTCTTTTCATTTTATTAGAAAAACTTTCTAAAATATATTTTTCTTAACAATAAAAGTTTTCTCAAGAAATATTAGCCTCAATTGAATGTGACCCAAAAGAAGTAAGAGAAAAGAAAAATCTCAATAAGCTTAATTAATTTTTTGTAATTGATGAATAGCATACTCAGACCAATCCTACGATTCTGACCGATTCTGACCGATCCTAATCGATCCTGACAGATCCCACTGTAAAATTCGAGTTTGATCGATCCAGGATCGATTTAGGTTCCTAAGATCGTAGAATCGAACGATCCTACGATTCATGATCGCGAATTTGCAAACTATGATTGTAATTACATTCTTAGCTTTTTTTTTTTCCTGCTGTGAAAAGGAGCAAAAATATGGGTGCTAGATAGTTAATTGGTTTGTAATGTTAGCAATCAGTTTTTTTTTTTCCCTTCAAATTGGAAAGGTCTACCTTAGATATGAAGCACCCCTTTGTCAGTTATCCTATATATCGATGTGTTTACATCATATAACAACTGGGTTAATCATCAAAATTTTTGAAGCAAAATTCGAAGAAATCAATTGCCAGTTTGCCGCAAGCTATCTGTAATGTTGCACTTAATCCTCCAAGGGAAAATTTCGTGTACAGACTAGCAAAGTCATCAAGCCGGCCATTAATTAGTGCTCTATTACACTAGTACTTAATAAATGGCAATTTGCCAATTTATTTTATTATTATTAAGGCTTTTCAATTACATTTAAGGCATCTTTTGGCACCATTGATTTCGAGATTGGAATCGTATATTGCAATTAAAATTGTGTGGAGTTGAACTGCAAGGTCTGGATATTTCAATTCAATCACAAATCACACTTATAGATTAATTAAAATTTAAAACTGCACAATATTGTCATCTGGTGAAGCTATATGTATTTTTTGCTGGGCAGTAGACCATATACTACCTGGGAAAATTTCAGATCAACTAGGCCAGTTTCCATGAAAAAACTTGTTGAAACAAAATATAGATTTTAACTTTTCGAAAAAGTAGGGGAAAAAAAAGAGTTTAGTTCCTCAGTCAAGCTCCAGATCTCGAGCTTCTTCTTTTGTCTTTTTCCGTCAAATGGTTCGTAAGCTAATCTGTTCGATTGTACTAATAAGGAACTTCATTGGGGAAAAACAAGAAGAGGAACTTCATTGAAATTCGAGGAACTAGTTTAGTCAACATGAATTAGTTTATGAAACTTCCAACTTCATTTAAACAATCCATGTTTCACAAAACACTAATGTCAAGTTGACTAAGATATCTATTACTTATTTTTGTTTTTTATGTTCCATTGAATATCGTGGCACGTTTTTCGCTTCCTCAAATTGACAACATTAGGAAGATCAAAATCTAGGCGTTCCGCAGAAACGCTAATGTTAAGTTGACTTAGATATCTACTACTTATTTTTGTTTTTGACTTTTTATTGAAGCGTTGCGCGACCAGTCTTTACTAATACTTGTGTAATATAAATCGCAATTAAGAATATTTAGAAAAACATATTTCTCTGTTAGACTTAGTAATGTGTAATCGGGAATATTAAATGTTATAAATATTTCGTGTATGTTTATAACAAAAAGAAACATTAATGTTTATGTTTAATATGATGGGAATTAAACTAAAAAAATGTAATTTGAGATATGCAGAGGAAAAAAAGAGGTATAAATTCAGTATCAAACTGACCTCATGTCGGTCGCTTATTTGTTTGATCGGCGTAACTTCAGTGTTGTTGTCCTTTGGTACTTCATCTGCGAGTTGGTTATCAGCAATGGCGTCACAAAAGAACCGTTGTCCTCAATTAAATTGTTGACGTAGTAATCTCGAAGCCCCTTGTACATTCTTTTTGATCTTCTCAGCTGCAATAGAATTTTTTTTTTTCTAACAGCTCATGTATTTCTTTAAGGTTTATCTGTTAAAAAAAACAAATAAGATATTAAGGACGTGTCATTTATCCATGCATATATAAAGGAAGGAAACATTAGATTTTTGAAACATGCGTGTTTAGGAACTTGAAGAGCTGAAACGAAGAATGTGCATACCTTTTCAGGGTTCTCGACGATTTCTGTTGTAGTGAAACCCAATATCTTTTCTACGATGCTACTGAAAATGCTAGCTTGGATTGATCTGCTCTCGTCATGAATGTTAGCTCTTAGACGACACCTAGAATGACAACAGTAAGATTTAGGAATATTTCGAAATCATCTAATCGGCTAAAATGTCAATATAATATTTCTAAATTTCCATATATTTCAGAACTGTATCTTAAGAAATTGAAATTGACATACTTTGGGTTGGTTGCAGATTGTTTTAATGACCACTTGTTGCATTTGAAATCTTGTTGATAGATTGCTGATGTTCCAGTGCTGCATTCCTTGCAAGCCATGTCGTAGAGTGGTTGTGGTATGTCTCTGAACTCAATGTGGACTTTGACTAAGATATCTTAATTTTTTTTGGCAAAATTTAAAGCTTAGTTAATTTGAATGAAGAAATATGAGAAGAACTAAAGCACGTTGCATAAAGAGTATTAGGAACCAAGCGTGTTAACCTGTTGTTCATCATCGATATGTGAGACTGGAGTGATTTGTGAAAGGTTTTTGTGACTGATGCCAGGAGTAGACAAGAATGATGGTTTATTCTGCAAGAAAAGATCGATTTCCTTACTGTTTTATTGTGACCTGAAAAAGTTAAAAAAGTAATTAATATGCTGAAAATTTTTGTAAAAGTTGGTGTAGGAAAATAAAAATATATACCAGTTCCTCAATTTCCTTGCTTTGTCAGAAGGAGGATTGATCAAAACCACCGATCTATGTGAAGTTGTTACCTCAATTCCTGATTCATATGAGAATTAAATTATCAGAGAACAAGTGTGCAGAAAAAGTATGGTTGAGGAGTTGTTTTAAAAAGGGCTTATTAGTGTACTGTTGTATGCAGAGATAAGCATTCGGCGGCAAACGACGGTTGGGTAACTCTTAGCTCGAACTTGTTCAGTTAATAATATTCCAACATCCTGGTGGAATTCTTCCCAAAGTGACAATCTCACATATTGCAACCTGATTGAGAAGGTACTACCGAAATTAAGTGTTAGCTACTTTATCAAAATATCATGATTAAATTCTGTAAACTAAAACAAAGAGGTGTATTCCGAATTAAATATCTAGCAAACCTTTTGCTACTGTTTCAGAAAATGAGATGCAACATACAAGTGTAACAATAGTACATGAAAACAATTACAAAAGGACAACAATAATCAGATTATCAAAATGGAAAGCAGCTCATAAAATTACAGGAGTATCATCCTTGTAATTCTGATGGGAACTTCAGGGAAAATAAATTTGGCATTTCGAAAAAGCATTGTATAAATAATTCAGAAACCATTATATTGAACTTACTTTTCATTTAGCTTACAGAATTTCTGGATCATTCTTTTTTTCCCTTTTCCTGTCGTAACAGTTTGCGGGTAGCTTCTCTCGACTACGACACCAATAACATCTGTAAGAAAAAGGTTGTTTAAAAGAGTATAGATCAACATAAGTTTTCTATTTGATAAGAATGTTTAAGTAAAACAAATACACATCCCAACAAAACCATCTTGAACACCAGCAAAATCATTAAGGGAATCAAAGGGCGTGTATTGCTCCTTTGTCACAAGAGTAGTAATAGGTTCGTTAACCTCTTCAACAACCGTCCCAATACCAATGACCCATTGTTTGGAAAGACCATGAGACCTATACTCTGGTTTAATGTACCGGATAGGTGCGTTGGAGACTCGGTATCTTCTACACGTCTGGAATCGTGGTCCCATGATGCTGACGGCGTATTCGAACAAAATACCTTCTACTTTAGCACCCTACAATAATAAATCAAATATTAATATTATGAATATATGAGGTGAAAATTAGTATGACAACTAACAAATATAGATAATGTAATTCACCTTTTCATCGCTGAATACCATCTTTTGGGTTTTATAGTGGCCGAATGGATCTTGCTTCTCCTCGACAGTGACAATAGCAGTCCAAGGCTGATCAGAGTCGTTGAGCTTGTCAATTTTAACCTTGTTTGCAATCATCTTTGGTGCACAAGGAGCCATTCTAAAAAAATTTGCAGGAAGGAAAAAAAAACAGGTATGAATAATAAGCAAGAATTTTTGGGATGCCGTAATTGGAAATCCGATTCGGATGCCATTCTATTTATGAGGGTTGCTATTGTATTTATAGAGTGGATGCCGTCGTGGTGTTTGTAATCCGATAAATTAGGGGACGAATAAGAATTGGAAATTTTGCCTATTTTTTGGGTGATTTCCTACCGTAATTGAATTTGTAATTCGATTGGGATTGTAAAAGAAGGGGATGAATCTGAATTGGGAATTTTTCTTTTTTTGCTTATTTCCTAATCTAATTTGAAGAAGAAGAACGGAAATCATTGCTTGGTGGCCAAAATTAACTACACAGCCCAATGTCATGTTCAGAGTATTGGTAGGAACGCCGTCAGTGGTGCGATGGTTTTGGTGGATAAGCTGCCGCTGGAAATGGAGAAGCGGAGAGTCAGATTCTGCCGGAAATGTAGAGGACGATCTATTAGACTGAGGGGGCCGGAGGAAGAAGCAGCGAAGGAAGAATTTTTTTGATGGAGCGTGGCGGAGGGAGAAGGTTCGAAGGTGGGTGCCGGAGGGAGTAGCGCCGAAGGGGGTTGTTAAAAATGTGGAGTACGACGGAAGGCAGGACGGGGTCATTTTTTTGTGTTTGGGTTTTTTTTTTGCGTTTGGGCTGTTTTTTGTAATAATTCAGTACATTACGGATTGTAAATTATTTGGATGATTTAAATGTGTAATTTGACAATTTTAATCCTAATACGTCGCTGACATCATATCAGCCCAATCCGACGGACAAGATCTTGACGGTGGTCCTTGAATATTTCTTCGGCACTATTTCTTGGCTACTGTGCCTTTTATTTAAGTATAAGGATAACGTGGCACGTTTCGCTTCCTGAAATAGACAATGTTAGGAAGATCAAAAATTAGGTTTTGGAATCTAGATTCCAGACATTTGAAGTGTCAAAGTATTTAGACCAAAGCATTTTTATATATCTTTCTCTTATCTGAAAAAGTAAAAAAAGGGAAGTAAAATTAATGTTTTACATTGAATCACAATTTAATTTACCCTCTACGACTCTAACCCAGCAAAATAGTGCAAATTGAATTTTGAAATTTGAACTATTTTTCATTCAAATCTCAAAGTTCAATATGAATTATTTTCTTAAAACAGAGAGAATATATAATTAATGAGTACCATGGTGTTTCATAAGTTGACCCTAGCCGAGTCCCATGTGAATGTCTATTAGATTGAAGCAATTTACTACTATTTTTCTCTAAAATCATTAGTCACCATTGAATTTTAAAATTTATACTGAAAATGATACAAATCTCAAAACTCGATACAAAATATTTTTTGAGACAAGGAGAGTACTTTATAAAATATTAAAATACTTAACAAACACTTGATGCTAAAGTTACGTTTCAGTTCAGCTAGGTGAGCTCCCAACTTCCTATGGTAGATTTATCTTCCCAAATTCTAAATCAACCCGACATACGATCAGAACTAACAATTTTCAAAGGTGAGCCAACATTTCTTCTTACAAAAGAAGAGGATGATCAATTGGCTGCCCCCTTTCGCCTTGCTCTAGTAGGGAAATTCTCAAAGGGCCGGCCAAAAATGGAATACTTGCAACGAGAATTCGAAATTATTGGTTTAAAATGAAGCTTCTCCCTTGGATCGATCGACTTGTGACATATCCTCAGCTGCTTTGACCAAGAGGAAGATTTTCATCGCTGTTGGTTAAAAGGTCCATGGACCTTTGACACACATCGTATGCGAGTCCTAAAAGGGACTATAGAGTTTAACCCAGCACATAGGGGTGTTAATTCGGTCGGTTTGGCCATTATTCGGTTCAGTTGAATCGGGTTTTTGAGACTGTTTAAACCGTCTAATAACCAAACTGACATTAAAAAAATCCAAACTGAACCGACTGAAAAACCGATCGGGTTAATCGGTCAGTTTACTCTTAAACCGAATCAAATGCAACAAAAAAAAATTGTTCAAACCAAATCAGTAGCTTAATACAATTAAAAATCTTAAAAATTCCAATCTGAACATAAATAAGATCCAAAAACAGCCACGAATTTCAACATAAATCAATGGAATTAAAGTTTTCCTTCAACAAAAAATAAAAGAAAAACATCAACAGCAAGGTCTTCTTAGATGCTTATAGTTCCACATTCCTCCTCGGCTCTTTTAAATTTGATAAGCAAGCAATCATCAGTCATCACTCATCACATAACATCAACAGGCTTCTTTTCTTCAAAGTCTTAAACCAATTTCCTAGAAGTGTTAATGATGAAAGAGTTATAAAGTAGACAAGAGTAGAGAATCAGAACTCAGAAGAGAGGTAAACAAAAAGATAATGAAATCTGGCAAATTAGAAGAGAGAATCAAGAGTGAGAAAAATCACATGTTGACAAAAAGATAATGAATCATGGCAAGTCTTAATTTATGCCACTGTCCTTTGGAATGAAATCTGCCGTAGGTAAACAAAAAACCAAAGAAGTTATTGTAAGTAACAAATAAAAGGAATATACAGCTAACTTTAAATATTACTCTATAATTATTAAATTATTACCTTTTACCACTGTTTCAAGGTCTTCCCAAGTTTCTTCAACCTTCACAATCTCTGGCTTCTTTGTAGGATCACGGAGCCAATCTTGAGCACAAATAAGTCCTTGAACTACCTTCGGAGTCAAAAAACTTCTAAAAGCATCTAAGGCTCTTCCACTTGTACTAAAACAAGATTCGGAAGCCACTGTTGATATAGGAATGGCTAAGAGATCACGAGCCATCATAGATAGAATGGGAAATCTAGGACTATTAACCTTCCACCAATTCAAAATCTCAAACTTTCCATCATCTTCTTCAAGATCTTCTTTCAAGTATTTATCTAACTCTGACTTTGAATTCATACCACCAGCCTCAATTTTCTTCTTCTTCAATTACATTCTGAACTTTTCTGTCAACATCTTTGAAACTTGTACATCAATGGGTGAATTCCTTTTTCCCAAAGAAGATTGAGATGACTCTGGAGGGGGAGAATGTAACTACGTTCCAGGTTATGTAACTTCACATAATCAGCATACATGTCATGCAGTTCACTTTCAATCTGGTTTTTTTCTTGACTTGCCATCTATTTTTCCATACACATCATTCAAAATAATTTCTAAATACTCAAGTTTGTTCCTAGGATCCAGAACACAAGCCACAAACAAAGCCATGTTGCAAGTTTCAAAATTGCCAAAATATTTATCAAATTTATCCTTCATCATCTCTGCCATTAAAGAGATGCTAGAATCTTCAGATTCATTGATAAGTTTCCTTAAAAGAGCCTCAATGAAAGTAACACCCTCAAAGTAAAAATTTGAAGATACAGAATTTAGTTTGAGAGACTTTCAAAGTAAACTCATAAAAAGGTTGAAGGATACCTGCAAATATTTTGGCCTCATTCCAATCAATAGAAGTAGGCACCCTAGGCCTTGTTTCTTCTTCTTCACCTTCCTCATTGCGCATAACAACCTTCGCAAGAGTCTATTATACTGTGGCTCTGTTGAATTATACCTCTTAAAAGCCCTTTCATAAGGTTGAGCTGTCTCAAGCAAACACATTTCAATTGCCTTCCCAATATCATCTCCCTTATGACTTGTTATTGGACAAAAATGCAGAATTCTCTTTCTCAATTTCAAATCATTGTCAATATAATGAGCAGTGAGAGTCATATAGTTCACTTTTTGCAAAGAAATCCATGTATCGGTTGTTAAACAAACTCTAACAATATTATCTCTAATTTCATCCTTAAGCTTACTCTTCTCATCCAAATACAACTTGTAGCATTCATTAGCAATGGTAAGCCTACCCTTACGAACAAACAAAGGCTGACATTTTCACATGAAGTATAAAAATCCTTTTTTTTCCACAAATTTAAAAGGCAGCTCATCTACAATAACCATATATGCAAGTGCCCTATAAACTTCATCATCATCATATTTCCGAGCCCCAACATGCACATTACCCCCATCAATCCCACCCTCAAGTACTAACTGTGTCTGCTTTGAATCCATATGAGAAGGCATTTTCTTACAAGATGTCAAATGTGCCTTAAGGGTACTCGTTCCATGTTTTTTTGTTTCAGAATGGTACTCATTTCCACAATATCGACATCTACTTTTCCTCTCACCTTGTTTATTTGTGAAAGTTTTTAAATGAGCCCAAACCTTAGAGTCATTAGAAGATGTCAAGGTAGACTGCCCATCACCGTCTACCTTGACATCTTCTAATTTCACATCAGCATCATCGACAAATTCCAAATTGATCATCACCACATCAGTACTCGACAAAGTAGACATCTGAAACCAAAGAATACAGAAAAAATATTATATTAAACCTACAGTAACAACTAACAACTAAGAGAAGAGAAGTAGTGGGAAAATTGTCCCAAAAAAAAAAATTCTTGCAGCCTGTTACAAGAAACAATTATAATTTTAATCTCAGTATGAAATCTAAGCAGCCTATTACAAGAAATCTCAGGTTTTAATCCATGTAATCTAATTAACTAATCAATAATTTTTCTTGTAAAGAAATAACAAGAGAATGAAGGATTTTTCTTTCGCCAAAGGCCCAAAGGCCAAAGCCGTCAGAAAGAAAGTGTTTCAGACAAGAAAGAATGGCATGCCAACCAACCTTGAGATTTGAGAGGGAGGTGTCGCGTGCCGGAGCCGATTGACCGGAGTGGAACTACAATCGTAAGCGAATGATCGGAGTGGAGCCGACTGACCGGATCTACAATCAACAAATGACTATTCTAAACTTGCCAATCGAAAAAAATTAAAGAGATGCAGCCAAGGTTACGGGTTGTGACTCTTGTGAGGTAGATCTGAAATCGATTTTGGAGTGGGGGATGATTTTTGCTGGTGAAGGTTAAGGGTGAAGGGCGGTGGCCATGGCTTCAAGAGAGAAGAGAAAAGAAGCGGCCGGTGGAGATGTAAAGTAAAAGTGAAACCCTAGTTAGAAAATGTAAAATCAATTTATATTTCCATAAAAATAAGTATAATAATTATATAATACAGTCAATTAGTTCGGGTTTCGGGCGGGTCTCGAAACTAAAATCCCAAACCCAAAACCGCCAAAAAAACCGTCACTTTCATTCGGTTAAAACTGAAAACCGACCCGAAAACCCGTAAATCCGACCCGTTTGACATCAATTCAATTCGGCTCGGGCGGTTTTTCGGGTGGACCCGTGTAACTAACACCCCTACCAGCACATGAGAGCTCCATTGTTCCAGTTGGGATCTCTCTAGAAGGTCTTCCCATTCATCGCTTTAACAAGCACTACTTATGAAAACTAGCTAGTATCATCGGTACACCTCTTCAAATTGACGTCCCAACAATCAACATGTCACAACCATCTGTGGCACGAGTCTATGTAGAGATGGATCTTCTCAAGGACCATCCTATTCGAATCAGACTGGGAGTTGAAGGGGCGACTTACTTTCAATCAATTCTTTATGAAAACATGCATCAATATTGTGTTGATTGCAAAAAGATTAGCCATGATTAACACTCCTGTCCACATAATACAAAAGCATCATCAATACAAAAGATAGATCCACGCCGTGCAAAGCAACAATCAAATCAATAACCAAAAAGAAAGCAAGACAAGGTGCTGGCCCTAGATAAATCACCGTCGAATCCACCCTCTTCTGATGTTGAGAAGAATCCGTTGATCATTGCTGCTGACGGAGATCCGCCACCAGTTGTGGACGCGTCTGAAACGCGTCTGAAACGTTTCTACGGTAGGAAGCTGATGCTGTCGAGGCCATTGCGGAAACCGTAGTCGCACGGCCCTGCGAAAAATCTACCATGCTGGAAACGTTAATCCCGCATCCAGCCCGAGAAGGATCGACCTCGGGATTGACAATGACGGAGAAAATTGGCATTCCCGTAGACATTATATACGGCTAACAACTTCCCTTGATATCTGAAAAAGTTGCGGCTGAAGAAACACCTCAGCGGCAAGTTGATGTCGATGTTATTCCACTTACATCGCCGCTGCTTCAAGTCATTGACGCAGTTGTTACTGATGTGAGAATCACCTCAATTGCCGCAGCAGCCCCGACGGCAGAGGGCGATAAATCAGCTTCATGGAATATGGATAGCCGGCGGCAGCCACCGGTGTCAACTGAAGGATAGGAAACTCCGACTCCGCAGCATTCCAGTTTGAGCCCCGCGCCTGCCGCGTCTCTTGCGCAATCAATGCCCCGGAAATCTCTCTCCCAATCTGATCCGGTTGATTCAGTTCAAAGGAAGATGAGTTGAAGTCAAATTTTCCACAGTCTTCTCCTTCAGATAATGAAGGAATTTTTCCTAAAAATGGCTCAAACAACAGCTCCACAAAAAAAATTAAATCCTGCAGCTCGGGAATGTTCTCATCCTTCTAGTCCACAAATCCCTCTTCTTCAAGTGTTGCTCCCAATTTCAGGCCCAATCACCGATAGAAACCATAACCAATACTTCTCCGAAGATGATACGGAGGTAGGGAAGCATAGAGTGTCTTTTAACCCAAGATATTCGATTGAAGAAATAAATTCCGAAGGAGAACAAAATCATGTTTTCAATGGTTCAGATGATGAAGAATTCAACATGGAATTTGCAATGGAACAAGAGTCTTATAAGATATTTTGATTTGTTATAAATTCTATTTATTATGTTTTTTCAATTACGAAAAAAATCTTAATTTTTTTTTTAATATTTAGGAAAACATAATGAATGCGAGAATGTATTTTTAAGCTTTTTTTTTTTATCGGAAAACATATTAGGTGAAACTTATGACAGATCAAAATGACTTATAATAACGACCAGAAGGAGTAAATATTTCATCCATTCCAGAAAAATAGTCGATATTAAATTTCAAAATTTATACTGAAAAAATAATACAAATCTTAAATTCATTTAGACTATTTTTCTTGGATGAAGGGAATAGGAAATTATGTTGTATTTTGAATGCAGCCATGCATGACAATATAGTTTGGGAATTCAGGCTATGCACTTTTCTTCCTGTTTCCATTATAATACACTTTGTTTTTCTATGGCGAATCAAATCACCATGTATGCGACAATGATTGATTAATTTTTCTATCATTCAAAAGATTACTTGAGTTATTTCAATATGTTTGTTCTTCCTTCGGATTTAGGTATTTGTTTATTCTTGTTCTTATTTAATATGAAATAGATATTGATTAAATTGCCAACTTGATTCAGTAAAACCCTAAGGTTCATAGTTCCAAGATAGATGAAATCATAATCGAATTATTCAAGAGACCATTTTAAGTGGCTGCGGTTTGGGACGGTTCCGGTTTTGATGTCGGTAATGGTTTAGATTTTGATTTCGCTTTATTTGTTTCTTGTTCGATCATTATAAGTACAATTTACTTTTATCTTATCATTTTTTGGAGTTTTTTACCCAAAATATTATTTAAAAAGACCCTAGACAAAAATAATATGGATCTAAGTTAGGTGGACAATACTAGTTCTCTCGGATTTGCCAAATCCGAGAGTACCGCACAGTCGGATTTCATAAATCCGAGACAACCGAAACTCGGATTAGTGAAATCCGAGACTTTGGTAACCTAAAATTACTTAAATTAAATTAACGAATTAATTTAAACTAATCAAGTGTCGGATTTCGCAAATCCGAGAGTAAGCAATAAAAAAATAGTTATTTTTTTGAAAAATATTCTAAGTGTTCGAAAATAGAAGTTGACTAGAAACGGATTAGCCTAATCCGAAACAAGGAAATTCGGATTTCGGAAATCCGAAAGTTTATAATAAAAAAATATTTTAAATTTTAGAAAAAAAAATGAAGTGTTAAAAATAAAGGGAATAGACTCGGATTTAGGTAATTCGAGTTCTTTTGTACTTACTCTCGGATTTGAAAAATCTGAATTGTTTAGAAAATGGCAACTTTCGGATTTGCGTTCACCCGGGTAGTGCCCATACCCACACAAGGCACATTAAACTAAACCCTAAACTCTAAAATCCAATGTTTTGAACTAAATCGAATATTTAAAACCCAATTTTTAGCTAAATTCGGATTTTGGAAATTCGAGTTTAAACAAAAATTGAATTTGGGAAATCCGTAACTAAACCCTAAACCCTAAAAGTCGGATTATAGAAATTTGAGTTTGAGCGAAACTCGGATTTTCGAAATCCGGAACTAAATCCTAAACCCTAAACCCTATGGCCTGATTTTGAAAATCTAATTTTTTGCTTAATTTGAATTCTGAAAATTCGATTAATGTACTATAACCCTAGTACCACTGATGTATATTGGGTAATAGTATTAATGTACTATATAATACTAGTATATATAAATAGTACATAACACTAGTACATATGAATTATGCTGAATTAATGATAATATCTAATGACTAACAGATTTAACAGTAATAAGTTACACTAGTTCCAATAATGTATAGTGGGTAATAGTTATTAATGTACTACATAATACCAATACGAATAAAAAGTACATAATACTAGTACATATGAATTATACTAAATTAATGATAATATCTAATGACTAACAGATTTAATAGTAATAAGTAACACTAGTACAGTGATTTATAGTGGGTAATAGTATTAATGAACTACATAATACTAGTACGTATAGATAGTACAAAACACTACGTAACACTAGTAATATATATATTTTTCATCAAATATACTGAATTAATTTAATTCAAATTCCTAAAATTTAATAATAGTACGAAACATTAGTAATATATATTTTTCATTAATTTAATATAAATTTCTAGTAATTATTAGTAATAAAATATTTTATTAATATCATATCTAATACAATATTTTTTTATTTTTTATTTTTTAAAAAGTGGATATGTCAATTTAATGCGAATTCTTATCAAAACTCGAATTTTTAAAGTTTTTTTGCACTAAAAGATTTTTTTTAAAAAAAAAGGTAGTTCAGATTTCTGAAATCCGATTTCACTGTTCATTTATTAAATTTTCAAACTTTCCCACTATAAATAAAATTTTAAATTTTCCCGCCATTCAGTTTTTTTTTAAAAAAAATTATGTTGGGGAAGCTCTCGAATTTCGGAAATCCGAGTTTATTGTACACATTTTGACGTTGGTTCTTTTTTTTTCAAAATTACAAAAAAAAACATTATTATTTTATATTGATTCGGATTTTCGAAATCCGAAAGTCCAATTTATTGGACTCTCGGATTTGCCAAATCAGAGACAACTACTTATGTCCACCAAAAAAATAATTTTTTTTTTGTCCACATCAATTTTTTTTTATTTTTTTAGCCGAAGGACCCTCATTTTTTGTATAATTACGGTTTGTAGGAAAGTTTTTGTTTTTCTTAATTTAATTTGAAGATCCAAACTTGATTCTTTTCTCATTTTATGAGTTTGTTCTTCATTTTAGAATTATTATTATGATATTCCAAGGATAAAAGTTATCTATGGTTGGCAAAGATATTGAGATGATTGATTTATTTATTTTATTGACGTTGCTTAAGTTTAGGATGGCCATGTAGTAAAAGATTTAATAAAGGTATGGGTGAGAACAGTTAGGTGAGTGGGGTTTTCGGGTGCAGATATTTTAGATTCTTAATTTTTTTTTCAGGAGAAAATAAACCCACCAGAATCCAAACCTAATAAAATGGTAGACAAAAACTGAAAAACTGAAATAACTTCGGCCTCTTCAGTTCGATGGGTATTTGAACCGAAAACACTCCTGTTATTTACACTAGGTTTTTTTTTTGTGGATAAAATCTTATGTTACTCATATTTAAATGTAAGGGGAGGGATTTTGCCAAGGCACTATTTAGTGTTCATAGCAAAAATGACATCTCATACCCTTATGAAGTCAAATAAATTAATCTTTCTTTCTCCTCCCTTATTTGCAGTCACCTGTCGTTGTAACTTTATTTCTTTGATTTGCATCTCTTTTTCTACTCTCTGCACCAGCTATATGAAATTCTCTTTAATTTTAGTGAGGACATACAACATAAACCTAATGGTCTCTTCTATCATGTTGGGATCTTTGAAATGGGTTTGGGAGTTATTTGAACGCGGTAGGGTTATAACATGAAGGGGTTCGTTTCCTTTTTCGGGGTGGGGAGATTATTGTTGTTATCCCCTAAAACCATAATTAAAATTTAGTCCTTTATTTCAATTTGATTGTTCTTCAATGGTGGAATTTATTTGATTTTGTTTGAGTCAAAATTGTATTTTATAGTGGAAACCGATTCGGCTCAAACTAATTTCAAGCGACTGCATGATATTCTCAAAGTACGTAAACCAAACGGTGAAATTGTCCTAAACAAGATGATGCCTTTGAATTGGCACTCAACCGAATAATGAGAAATTCTAAGAAATGGATAAAACGGTTTACAAGAGCCTGTTCTATTGATTGAATGAAAACCAGCTTTAAATAGCCTGAATCGCCGAAATGATATACAATGTTTAAAGCTGAAACATATACGAATACATAAAAGCTTAAAATTTCAAAGAACAAAGCTATAAAGGAAAATATGATTTCTGATTATTGGATAATGAGTTGTGTCCTTCCCGGTGCCTCCTTCATAGCTTTTATACTGATTCCGTCAACCCTAGCTAGGTTGCAACAGAAGTCGAATTCCACAAGGATTCCTGTTGCAACTGGAATCCTTCTTCGACATGGATTGCTGCGTCACTGACTCCTTTTCGGATTTGGCTTCCTCGCTCTCTGTTGTATCCACGAATTTTAACCAAAGCGGGCTTTAAACCGATTTTCCCACCATTAAAGTGCTGCGATCGGCCCATTCTCATGTGGACCAGATTTGTCAAAAATCGGTCCAACATAAAGCCGCTCGAGGGAAGCAAAATTTGCATACTGGAGCCCAAAATTTTCTTGCCTTAATATCAACTCATCAGCCCAACTCTTCAACCCAACTCTCCAGCAAACCTTCCCAAGAAGGAAAAAAAAATCGATCGGCCCAATACATCTTGCTCAATGGATCCAGTCGCGCCATAAAAGAGCATTGTAAGACGTTTTAGTGTCAACTACAAAGAATGCCAATGCCACCACTTGTGATCCTACCTCCAGTTGCAATGGTAAGATTCCTTTAGCGGTTGTAACGTCTCCTGTAAATCTGCTGACAAAAACTTCAGTTGGCACTAAATTCTTGAGTTGTTTGCCTAATCTTTGTAAAGCTCTTGTAGGCAAGATATTAATTGCTGCACCATTGTCCACTAACACTCGTCTCAATGGTACTCCATCCATGATGGCGCAAATGTATAATGGCCGAATGTGAGTCCCAGAGCTCTCAGCTGGCTGAGACAGCATTATGACTGGGTTTTTCCCTTGTTGAGATAGTAGCTGAATACCACCAACTGTAGCGTTATGTGGTTCTATTACGAATGAAGTCGCTTCAGGAACAACCAATGTGTCTGCAACAGCTTTGGGGATGATAGTTGTTGCAGTTGCAGGTTCTTTCAAACGAAAATTTTTCGATAACATATAAACCATGTTTACTGGTGGGAAGAACGTATCCACTTTTCACCACAATTGTGACCATCTATCTTCCTGCCTTGAAAACTTACTCATTGACGTTTGCTGAGAAATGGGGATTGTTCCTATTGAACCGGGCCTAATTAACATGTTGCATCCCTATTTTGTTTATTCATAAGCCTCTGCCATCGTCGTTTCTGCGTCCTGGTCATCTTTTCTTTCCTTAATGACGGAGTAGGGAACTTGGGATGAACAACGCGATGCCATTCTCTATCATTCACGGGTGCTGCTCTGACTGACCTGGGCTCAGTATTGTCCCTTTGACTGGGACGTTGAATCCGTTACAACACTGATGGTCTTCTATTATGAACTTGATATGGCAAGTTAGCCCTAGGGCTGACAATGGTATTCCCCAATCTTGTATGGACGGGCACTCGTTGTTGCGTCGGAAGAACTTTTGTATGCAAACCTTGATGTTGTAAACTCTGTTGCTGATTTTGGTTGAAAGCATTCAAGATTGCATATGACACAGCTCTTAGTTTCTCTTGCTCCGGATCTAAACGTGTTTCCTTTTGTACCCATGTATGCGTTTGTCCATTTGTCACTATATTTACTTCTGTTGCAGATGGGCGTGCATTCTGTCAACGCAAATGGCCTCCGAACTTAGATCCTAGCTCTTGCAGCTGTTGCTTGACCTTATTATATACTTTGTCACAATCTTCCCAACCAGTGACCAAACATGTGTTAGAGGAATGACTTCCAAATCCTACATTCACCATTCAGACCTGGTGTTGTGGCGGGAAAGGATTGACATTCATTTCAACTGGATCTTCTACTACCACATTGCTATCATCAATTATCTTTTGAATTTTATTCCGAAACACCACACAGTCGTTTATGGTATGAGTCCATGACATGTGGTATTTACAATACGTCTTTCCAACTAGATCTGCTGGCTTTGGTTGTCTATATCCCCTTCTCTACTGAATATGGCCTTTCTGGAACATGTCATCAAAGATGGCCTCTTGTTGCGATATATCGAAAGAATATACTCTACCAACGTTAGCTCCGTCAGCTTGCCCAGGGGTGCCTACCGGTGGGAGAGTATTATAAGAATGTGGAACTGTTAGGGCGACGTAATGCGTCACACGTGTAGTTACGGACATTGACGATTTCAGCAACATTAACCTCATATTCATTGTCGTCCTTATCATGAACCCATTGACTTTGATTCACTTCTGCTACTGGAGCTTTGTTGAACCATTGCTTCGTCTTTCCCAAGTTCTTCTCCCTTTTATCTTTAATGACTTTCTCACATCTTCTTACAATATCTGTCAAATGATTCAAGGATCGAACAGAATGTGGTGCGACAGCTAATTTGACTTTGTAATCCAAAATTCCGGCAATTGCCATCTTGACAATAGTTGGCTCATCATACTTATCTGGGATCTTAGCATATATTTGATGAAAGCATATCAAATAAGTTTCCGCAGCTTCTCCAAACTTTTGTCGAATTTCTGAGAGATCGACGATTGACAATCGTGTAGTATCCCTACGGAAGTATGACAAGAACTCTCACTGCTGCGTTTCCCATGACAGAATAGAACCTAGTGCTAATCATCGATACCAGTCAAAAGCGGTCCCTTTTAGAGAATAGGGGAACAAACCCAACTTGATTAAAGCATTGTTTCCTACTAACCCGCACTGCAATTCAAACAGACTTATATGATCTTTAGGTCTCTTCTCATCCTCTTCTAAAAATTGCTGAAAAATCGGGAATCTTAAAGTTCCTTGGCAATGGCTCCCATTCAACATAGTCAGGATATGGCTTTCCTGGAATCTATGGAATTTATGTGCCTAGCTCTTTACGGATCTTGTCTTCTATCATTCTTGAAAATGCATCCTCAGCGTTTAAAGTCTGATCACCACCTGTCTCAAAATTCTGTTGCTGATTATCGTTCGCTTCTGCATCGGTTCTTGTCGAACATCGTTACCAAGATCAACCCGGTGACGACCACCTCCTTGGCCCCATAAACGTTGGTGATGTGGGTTGTGTCTATTTCCCAAATTCTGATTTCCGATATGTCTTCCAATAGCTTGCGCCCTATTTCGGTTCAGAATCTGATTTGCTTCGTATTCCATCTACTGTTGTTTCTCTCTATTCTCTTCCAATGTGTGATGAGGTGAAACAATTTGCGGATCAGCAACCACAACACCAGAGCCTTGAGTTATGTGTGGATCATCCAAATTTTCAACAACAGTATTATTTCCTGGTACTCGGTTCTGATATAATATAAAGCGGCGGTCATTGGTCGCTTGTACGTGTTGACCAGCCTGCCATGCATTTTCACCAACAGCACCTTGATTGTTTCCCGTACCAACAGGGCCTTGATTAATTGTTACACCAGCATTTCCTTGGACACCTACATCTACTGTTCCTTGTGGTATGTACGTTACTCTAGACACACGTTCTTGTCCACTCAGTTGTGATAGAACCACTGCTGATCCTTGTTGATGTTGCATTGGTAAAACTTGCTGTGGAAATGCAGCATTTTGCAACTGGAATTGATTCGTCTCTTTCACATTTCTTGCAACAGTATTATTTGTTGCATTTCCCACCTGTTGCATTCCCGGAGTCACCGGCCACGACGCCTGGAATCCTTGATAGGGTGATTGTTGTCCCCATGACGTTCCAAGCGTCATTACTGCTGTTCCATATTGAGGGGACAATGGAGACAACTGCCGTCCATCAAAGGTAAAATTCCCTGGTGGTGACACGAAAGCTGGCTGACTCGGAACAATTGGGTAATACCAACTTTGTATTCCTTGTAATGCTGCATTGTGAGATCCATTGTTATTTGGTCCTGCTCCGAGATTTTGCACTGGAGTATCTTTTGCAGATGTCTAGAATATGGCATGATATAAAGGATTATTAACCATACTAACTGGTGGCACCTCTGAACTCACTGCTCCTGTGGCCGTATTAACTCCTGACTTCTTGTGTTTGCATTATGGTCAGTTAGTCTCTGAAAAGCATTTTCAAAACGCTCCACTTGTCTGGCCACAACATGCTCTATTTCTGAAAATCGTTGATGCAACATCTCAGGGGTCATCACCGGAACCTGACTTGTTTGGCCCTGGCTATTGAACACAAGAACCTGAAACAACGGGCTCTGAAAGGCTGGAGTTTGAAACCCTGGACTTCTATAGGACCCGGGATAACTCGATCTTTCTCCAAACAGACTTGATCCCACATTGGACTGTTGCTGGCTAGATTGTCGCCGTATCCCAGTGGACTGATGTGTTATTATTGTTGAATAGGAATCCACCGCCAAGAAGTTCAAAAGCGTATTCATCAGCAAGGAACTCCCACCTGATGCAAAAGTCTGATTCGGTATAGAGCAGTGTCCTACCGAATGTGCTGTTGCTGATGACTGAGGGACTGGAACACGCAAATCGGTCCCACTGGGCGCGCCAAATTTTATGTTTGAGTCAAAATTGTATTTTATAGTGGAAACCAATTCGGCTCAAACTAATTTCAAGCGACTGCGTGATATTCTCAAAGTGCGTAAACCAAACGCTGAAATTGTCCTAAACAGGTTGATGCCTTTGAATTGAAACTCAACTGAATGATGAGAAATTCTAAGAAATGGATGAAACGGCTTGCAAGAGCCTGTTTTATTGATTGGATGAAAACGAATCGGCTTTGAATAGCCAAAATTGCCAAAATGATTACAACGTTTAAAGCTGAAACATAAACGAATACATAAAAGCTTAAAATTGCAAAGAACAGAGCTATAAAGGAAAATATGATTTCTGATTCTTGGATAATGAGTTGTGTCCTTCCTGGTGCCTCCTTCATAGCTTTTATACTGATTCCACCAACCCTAGCTAGGTTGCAACAGAAGTCGAATTCCACAAGGATTCCTATTGCAACTAGAATCCTTCTTTGATATGGACTGCGTCGTCGTTGACTCTTCAGATTTGGCTTCCTCACTCTCTATTGCATCCATGAATTTTAACCAAGGCGGACTTCAAACCGATTTTCCCTCCATTAAAGTGCTGCGATCGGCCCATTCTCATGTGGACCAGATTTGTCAAAAATCGGTCCAACAGATTTATTATTCTTTCATAATTGCTTAAGGGTTAGTTTAGGTTACACTACTTTGATGTATATAATGGCGCAAAATTGCCAATTTATTGACTTGATAGCCCTTTAGCATGTAAATTTTTGAATTGCATGTTTAAAGAAGAAAAATCAGTGACTGCTAACTGATCTTCGTGTAGGGAACAATATTTTGGCATTCAATCAATTAGTGATAGTCAATATTTCTTCAGGATCTCTGCTCTAGCAATTTTAATGTTCATAAATTCACAAATATAATTGTTCGTAAATCATCAATACGGTGGGCTATTATTTGTTCTTAGGTCTTAACCCAAGCAGTACCACAGGTTTGCTTAGGAAACTATTTGGGGAACTAAAAATTATCAACGTGGATTCAGAAGTTGCAAATGTATCTGGGACTGTTGAATTGTGAGAAATAAAATTAAGAGAGAGATATAGAGGAAGAGACTTTGACTTCATAAGGGTAAATTTGAAAAATAAAATTATTTTTGCCTTAGATGCTAGAAATTCTTTTGGTAGAATAGCAAGCCAAATTATAAATATAATACTAAATGAAATAACAAATTCAAAAAATATCCAACATAATTTTGATACAATTTTGAAGAGTTAAAATAAATTTATTAATTGACGAAAAATCAAACAATCTAAAAATGGTACATGAGAAAAGCACGTAATAAACCTAGATAAACCATGAAACTTCAACTCATAAAATCCTCACATTGTAAACACTAAATTCACAAGATTTGTTGTAGTTTCTAAACCTTAGGTGGTTCGATATCTTTCTTGAATGCATTATGTATCAATGTGGTTTATTATTTAGGATATTAAATAAATTTTTATATTAATAATATCAAATTATAAACATTAGACTATAAATTTTTGGTTACAATGTGGTATTGATATATTATTTTGCATGCATGTCATTATGCATGGTATTTCAATTAATTGAACCAAACCACAGATTTTAATCTGATTAACTAAAATAATAGTATGAATGCGACAACTACACCATTTACCTATCTTCTAAAAACAGTTTGATTAAAAATCCAAACAAATAATTGTTTCAAATCGAACTAAACGGATCAGATACGGTTTAGTTCAAACGGTTCTTGAATTTCGGTTAGACCGTATCCATGGTTCTAACCAAAACTGAATTGCATGTTTCGATTCCAGTATTTCGAAATGAAAAACGACAACCGAACATGAAACCATGGTTTTGGTTATAATATTTTAAACCATATGGCTACGGTTTAGAACTGAAAGTGACAATTCAGTTTTGGTTCTCACCTAAACCATAGTCAGGTGTTAGTATTATTTTTTCTAGTGCTTTCAGTTAGTTAAAGGTTACATAATGTTAGTATAACCCTAGTTCTATATGTATGGAAGGTTAGTTTGGTCATTGTATTACTTTCTAGTTAATTCTAGGGTTTATTGTATTTGTGTATATATAGTCTATTGATAACATTGAAATTATACCACTTTTAGCAAGCAATTCTTACTCATTTTTACTTGTAATTTAATGTTAATTAAGCAGAATTAGTTTACTTTTGGGTCAATTTTGTATTTCAGTGTGATCAGAGGGCCAATGTGGAATTTCTTGAGAAATTTGGGCCAAATTGCAGAAAAATGCATCAAAAGGGACCATAATTGGAGCCGCTGGAAATCGAGGGCTAAATGGATCGAATGGAGCTGATCGAGGGGAGGAATTCTTGCTGATGAAGTAGAATTGGCTGCAGCTTGATCCCAAGTTGTGGAACCTTGCAGCAGGAAGCCAAAGGAAGAAGAAGAACTTGCAGTACTCTGCTGCAACAACTGTTGCTGCTGCTGTCAATCAGGAAGGACCAGAGCTGAAATCTTGCTGCCAAAGGAAGGAATTGCTCCACCATCACTACAACTGCTCTGAAAGAAACTGGTCCAATCCCTTCTGACTTGAGAAGGGGGTGTTGAAATAAGTGTAGTGAGTAAAAAACAAGTGAAAGACACTTGTTCCACATTGGAAATGGTAACCCAACTTGACCAAACATATCTAGCATATGTGCTACTCTTCTTATTACCAATTGATTTTGAGGTGAAACCACATGTGAGTTTATATGGGCCTTCGTGACATAACTGATATGAGTCGACTACATTAAATATGGGTATTAGTGAGACAATAGAGGCACAATAGTTTGAATGTGAATTCAATGAGACAAAATCTAATGAATCGTAGTTATGTCTTTTAGTTGGTTTTGATTCAACTAGTTTCTATGTTTTGGGTTGCATGTTGTGGTTAGACATGAAAGTTGGAACACTTTCATGCCTAGTTATTAGTAATACAAGAGTTGATTGAATGTTTTCTTTCGATAATAATTCTGGGAAAGAATAAGTTTGTTATGACTATTCTAATAAATTTGTGTTTGAGTGTTGAATGCTTAATGTAAGAAATTTATTTTAGCCTATATCAATTAGTACCAGAGTTATCAGACCATTGGGTCGGAAGTTTGTTATTTGCTTTCAGGTGCATGTGACCAGCCATGTGTGACCACAGTGATACGTCTTCCAGTTCCGACGATGATATTGCCGAGTATAAAACTATTTCTCCATATGATTTGACATCCAACGATAGCCCTGGCCATATTCTCGCCCAAGTTCACTTAAAGGGTGAATCTAATTATGATGAATGGTCCAAGGCCGTTCAGATGGCCCTCGGGGCTAGAAAGAAGTTTGGTTTCGTTGATCGTTCTATTTGGAAACCAAAGAAAGCTGCCAATTTGGAGGATTGGTGGACAATTCAATCGTTAATCACGGATATTTGATTAAAATTATGTGAACAATTCAATCGTTGATCGTGGACAATTCAATCGTTCTGACTAACCTAGTTTCGAATATATGGTAATTCTTTATTGGAAAATAAAATTCTCTCAACAGGTACTTGAAGCATTGTTGCATATCTATACTCGAGTTCAGACCCGAGTAATAATTAACCTGGCCAAATATTTGTACCACTTGGATCAAATGATTATATTCTAATGTACCTACAAAATACTGAATAGCTTCATTGTATTAGGAATTCAAATGTGACTCTCTAAGGTCAAGTAGCTTATGAAACACCACGGCGCCCGTTATTATACACATTAAACTTCGGTACAATATGTAAAACTTTAGCTCTACTTCTGCGCTTCTCTTTTTCCAAACAAAAAAGATAAAAATAAAAAATCTTTGGTCCACATAATTTGACACTTAGAATTTCTGAAATCCTGGATTCTGAACCCTAGATTTTTGCCTTCCTAATGTTGTTGATTTGAAAAGCTTGAAAGTCTATATAAGTCTATATGTGGTTCTACCTCAAAATTAATTCACCATGAGGGGAATAGTACAAAGTGTCTTTTACTTGTTTTCCAATTCAAACGGGATCTTAACACCCCATCTCAAGTCGAAATGATACAGGTAAATCAAAGTCCTTGGATATACTGTGGATCAGTCAAAATTCAATACTGGAAAAACCGCCCAATCGGTCAAAGTTTACCAACAAAGTCCGCGGAGTAAAACCTGCTCTAATACCATCTTGAAGGCATAAATAGAATTCCACATGTGATTC